CGATAAAGGGCGTTTTAAAGGTGGGAGTAGAAAAAAACTTTTATTTCACATTAAGCGATTTACTTAATATTTTGCAACATATTATTTTTTTATTTCTTTACTCAATTAACTCTTGAGGTTGACATTCATACAAAATATTTCATATCATAAAATTACAAAACTCACTTCCATTTGTGTTACAGATTTTTTTAAATGATTTACAATATTTCTTTTTATCTTAAAATGTACCTATCTAAATCTTCTGTACACACGCAGCAAATTTCGGAAGTTTTAAAAAATACTCCACTGGTAGTTAGGTAGGTAAGGTAATGTAAGGATATGGCTGTTTGGGGAGTAACTCCAGGAAGAAGCTTACTTATGAATAAACGATATCACAACGCTGGAGACTAAGAAAACGTGAATATTTATTAGCAAAATAGATATACGATAATGCAATTTCAGCATTAGGCAGAGGCAGAAGCATCATGTAGTAAAATTAACTATGGCTTAGCATGTAGACTTTTTCATGCGGCTAATACTTTATTAGTGTATTTGTAATGGTCCATTCTGCCAGATAATATATTAGAGTTGTATGGAACGTAGCAAGAGCCGAAAGTAGGAATCTGCTTATAATGGTTTTGGCTTCTATCCAAAGCAGTTACCAGATCAATTTTCGAGATAAATAATCATACATTATAAGGATCATTTTGCCTTCCAGTTATTTTTGATTAACTTTGTTAAAATATTTTACAGTGTATGCAAAATTGTTCGCGTTTTGAGATTTTATTATTTTTGCTTAACTGATTTAGTCTCAATAAAATTAAGTTTTTTCATTTGAAAGCTTTGAATCAATATTTAATTTTAAATAAAAGACTTAGTTTGGTTTAAAACCATTTTAAGATAAACTTTTATACAATATTAAATTTACAGATATTTACATTTTTTAATATATAAAACTAAGGTTAAGTTGGAGTAATCATACCATAATTGTTTAATTTATATTATTTTTAAAACTATTTATATTCTTTTTGAAACAATTTATAATAAATAGTAAAACAGTCGCATAATTAAATATGCATTTATATTTTTGTATTTATTTTATAATAATACAAACCAGGTTTTAGTTTAAATTAAAAAATAGGTACATTTTTTATATTTGACATTTATCTAATACTTTTTTTAATACAAGTATTATAAAAGTTATTTGTATTTTATTTTCTAAATGTTTTATAAAATTGTTTTCAAATTTTAAAAGAAATATTAAATTATTGGTAGTTTCTTTTGTAAAATTGTATTGTAAAATATATTTATCTTAATATAAATCTTAATACGTCCCAAAACTTTGTGATATTGAAAAGTTTTTGAACTTTCTCGAAAACTTTTTTCGTGCTTTCTTTTTTTGCGGCTTAAAAGTACAACAGTTTTTGAAATGGGATATATATCTTGTTCTTATGTAATAAAGATAAACGTCTTACCAAGGTAAACGTTTTAAAAATATGTTTTTATTTAATTTGTGTTTAAAATACAAATTTAAATTTTTATAGATAAAGATAAAAATTTTCGTTTCTCTTGATGATACACAAACTAATTTTTGAAATATTTTTATAAAACATTAATTTAAAGCCTCTCTAAGCCGTAGTTCATTTTTAATTAATTTTAAATCTCCCTGCTTCAAACTTTTAAGTGTTTAAATTGGGTTGAGTTGAATATTAATTTTTGAAAGAGAAAATATTCTTATTTATTTTAAATATAAATTAAATGCAATAACAAAATTTAAATTAAATTCAAATTTGATTTTGAAAATGCGTTTTAACATAAACTTAAGTTTTACCTTATTTATACTTATTTTTGGCATACAAAGATTTTTTTGCCTCGTTTACGTAATATTCCCTTCCAGTTTCAAGACCTAAGACACTAAATTTCATTAATTTCCAGTTAAATACTTTAAAAAATGGCGAATGCGCCGGGGTTAATTATAAATGAATTTTGGAGTGTTAATTTAAAATTTAAGCTCTTTAGGTCCGAGAGTTGATGAATCAGTAAGGACATGTAATTATGTAAGTACCAATAGATTATTTTAATTTATATGCAGGGAGATACAAACTTATAATTTATATTTGGGAATTTTTAAGTAAAAAAAAAATAATAATTTTTAACAGTAAAATCAATTATTATAAAAACTAATTTATTTTATATTTTGTATAAAAATTGAAAATTATTGTATAAAATGGCGAATGCACCGGGATATTATATTTTAATTTTGCTGGGTAAATATAATTTTTTTTGATTTAAACATTCTATAAGCTTGGCTAACCAAAATTTAAATAATTCTCTAAAAATACAAGACATAGAACATGAGAAAGCCGGGTATGATGGTTAATTTCTTATGCGCTGAAATGTTGGTAGTGTGCCATATAACAGAAGGCAGGCAGGTACATACGTATGTAAAATTTACAAGAATAGTAATCTCGTTGCATGTCGTGTATAAGAGAAATTGCGGCAATTTAAGCCTCTGCAAGCAGGGTTTTAAACCCCAAAACCGTATGCTTTTTAATGTCAAATTTCTGCTAGTTACTTATGTACTCTGTGCTGTTTAAACGTTTTTAAGCGAAGAGATTCCGACGCAAATCCTATTTAATTAACATTTTAGGAAAAACATTGGTTTGCTCAAGGTATTTAATTTAATATTCATTTAAAATATAAAAAAGGGAGTAACCGTGTATTTAATGCCAACGCAAGGTATAATTCATACCAATTAAGATTTCAAACTTGCCAAATATGAAATCAAAAGATATATATTGAAGATTGTGAGCTTTTATATTTTATTCTAGCGAATTTAAATTCCCCTTAAAAAGTGCCTTAATAATGTCTAAACTAGAAAAGGCTCCCTTTAACCGTTTTTAAAATAAAAAATTAAAATAACATATTCTCGTTTATTACGATATCTCTAAAACTAAAAGTAATAACTCAAATTTTAGATCATGGATCAACATGAAAATGTGCAAACTTTTTTTAATTTAACTATGTACCTATCTCTAAAGATAAGCGAGATCATCACGCTTAGCCTTTAATAAAAATATCTATATCATATAGGATACAAAACTATTTATCAGGATAAGGAATATATAGTTTAAACTTTAATTTTTAATATTTTATTTTAGAAATCGGTCTGGTGAAACAAGCATATTAAACTTTTTTATTTTCTTTATATGAGCCATTTCAAAAAAGAAATGTGTCGCAATTCTTGTATATTTAAATTTTATTAAAAATGTAATGCAAGAAGAAAAAACACAATAAATCAAATTAAGAATAAAAACCTTAATTTCAGTACAAATTAATAAAAATAATTTAAAAGGTAAAACATAAATTTATTAATACGTAGCAATGAAAACAATACCTAAATTATTATTCTCATGATAATTTGTTATTATGTTTAATAACACAGATTTGGTTAGAACTATTTTAAAATGCATTGTTTTCTCTATTTCCCATTCTAAATAACAGTAAAGAGACTACATAAAATACAGCTTTTTCACATCACATTGTTTACTTTACTTTAAACAAACCAAGTAAAATTTTGGTAAATAGTAACTAAAAATATTAAATATTTATTCAATTTACGTTTTTAGGTACAACTTCCTAAACGTTTAAAAGTAATTTTGATAAAATGAAACAAGAAGGGTGAACGAAGACCAACTAAAAAAGTCCGAGATTTTGTAATGACAGCTAATTTTTCATAATTATCGAAAGACTGACATAAAGAACGGCAAAATAACTTGTAACCGACAAAAAATGAAAGGAAATTACTTTTTAAAAACCGGAATCCATCCGGTCACCGTAAAAAGATCAAACCAGTGCAGGGCGTCAAAGTTCGCCGTCACGTCGATAGATGGCGCTAACGGTAACGAATAAAGGTCTTCGGACAAAAAATGAAAAATGCATGGATTCTCTTTATTGCCCCTATCGGATGCCAATGGGAATTTTAATGATTTTTTTTTAAATAAAACATGATTTACTTGATATCTTAAACGGAATGCGCAATTTTTTCGCCGGGGCGCTGATTTGGAAAACTATATTCAATTCCAACATAGTTTTAATTAATATTTATAGAAATATGTAATAAAATTAATTTTAAGTTTATTGTTTAATACGCAAGACCAATAACCAATGGTTTTATAGCTAAATTAACCGAAATCATTGAATCTAAAAGTGGTGAGGCTTAGTTATTACGGATTTTTTACTAAAAATTTATATTCATATTTTACTTTGTAGAGCGCCTAACACTAACACATACAATCATATTTAAAACAAAAACCAATTTTTTTAATGTAATAATTTTTAATAAAAAGGTTATAAAGATATAAGATAATAAAGAAAGGGGAACTGATTTGTCTTGTTTTTGATAGTCTTAATATTTTTTTAAGGCGTAATAATTTTTTTTTTTAAATATTTAAACAAAAGTTTATCACAGTTCAATTTCAAAAAACTTCAAAAATTCAATTAAATCTTACATTTTATGCGCGTTTTGCCTAGCCCAATGAATTTATTAAGCTTACAATATCTATAAATTTAAATATCACTGCAAAAAATTCTTATTAGAACTTCAAACTTTCGATTTCCTTCAGTTTTAAAATTAATTTTTTTTTTATTTTTAACTATTTAGATTATAATTTCAAATTGGTTTTACCTTATAGATTTGGTTTTATTGATGTTTAAGTTTGGTTTGTAAAATATAAAAAGTACAGTATTGTTTTTAAAACTAAAATTATGATGTGTTATGTTAAAATAAATTGTTTTATTCCATTATAGATGCAAAAGTTTTAGCAGAGTTAATTCAATTTTTACTTAAAAACTTCTTCTTTGGTATTTATTCAAATAACGTAGAAATTTTGCAGACTTCATATTATATAAACTACTAGCAAATAATCCTTGAATTAATACTTTAACTGAGATAGAATGAAGAAAGTTGAGTTTTTAAAAGTTTGTTTAGACTTTCGTGATAAAACTTTTTTAACACTTACTTAAAATAAAATAGGTATCCATATTAATAAATAATCCTTAGGATAAAATCAAAAAGAAGAACACACAAAAATCACAAGAAAAACTAAAAACCATCACTTGATGAAACTTGGTGTTAAGTTGTTAGCGCATTGTCGCGAATTAGCACAACACAATCCAAGGGACAAAGAACTAACTCTTGTGGTAATGGTAAATCCGCATATCAAACAGCGTAGTGGCACTCTAAAGTGTTCGATTTTGGAGATCATGCATATAAACTAGATAAATCAGCTTAAGTTGGCGGCGACCGGACTCGCTCTCATCTCAGTCACACAGTCACACAGTCGGATCAATCCGCGACAGAGTTCGGAGAATCCACGTAGCACCACGACGGGCCCCTGCGACGCACTGAAGGCTTCACGTGCAGAACTGCAGCGGCCGCTGGCGGAGAAATCCGAACCCGGATCGGTCTTCGGCACCTGTTAGTTGTCTTGGTGTGCGTCGAGAAAACTAGTAGGTAGGACGGATCGGATCTCGGGAGAGAAAAAAGGGAAACAAGTAGGCCGGAGTGAATTGTTACCGAGATACCTCCAGTTAATTGTGGCTTTTGTCCCTCTCATCTGTTTCCAACTCCGTGTGCACAGGTACACGATGGTGCGCCATCGGTAGTTAACTACATCTTGTTTACAGATGCTCTTTTTCACTCATAAATTCACTAATCACATTAATCATAAACTTTACACTTACAGTCGATTTTATAACACTACGTAACAATGTTTTTTTATATAAATAAAAGTATCAACCCAAACTGGTATTTAAACTATTTAAATGTCCTTAGTTTTTGTTTTTAAGATTTAAAGCGTAAAAAACTATGATATAAAAAATACTTCTAATATATATATATATAGTTCGAAAAAATGAGCTTCTTAATTGAGGGCATGGAAAAAACCATTACAGACTATGAACGATGTTTTTAATTATAGGCTAAAGAAGTATCGCTAGTAGCGCCACCACTTGGCTGTTATCATCGTAACAAAAGTTGAACTTTCCAGCTGTCAAACGCTTGGGTTACAAAGGAGTATTTTTGAGAATAAAGCCGGAAAATGTTAAAAAATATCGAAAAAAAACCGTAGATCGATTTGTTGTGTTGTTAGGTGTATTTTCAGAGGAAATCCTGGGTTGAGATTTTACCGGTTTTCCAATAAACAGTGTTAGTCTGAATGAAGAAATAAATTGCATACAGTCTTTGTAAATATAAATTGTACCTATTAGATACAATAAATACACATTTTAGTAGTGATTAACGTGAAAAGTGTAAACATTTCAATTCAGTAAAAATCGTCAAACAAATAAGTCGCGTAAATTTAAACAGTATTAAGCATTATTAAAATCGTTGATTAAGAATTCTTTAAAGTCTCCACTCAACAGTAAAATACCAATATATTATGTATTATATATAATATTATATTATGTTGCCATGGATTCCTAGGTATATTTTTTTGTTTAAAATGCAGTTGTCGGCGTTTTTTAGAGAACTCAAATATAAAAATGATTGATTTTAAGGTTATGTTTGTATTTTTTACTAATTTCTTAAAACGGTCCAAACTTAAATATAAATTATATTAGGTAAAGTTATCATTTGTTAATTCTGCACCAAAAAATGTACTTACCGAATTGGATCCTTTGGCAAAACATTTTATTTACAATTAAAAACACAATAATTCATCATGATCCCTTTGATAAAATACACAAACTAATGTAACTATATAAGCATTTAAGCGTTGAGTTTCTTAATCAATGATATAAGGAATAATCAATCGAAATCGAGTAGTAAAAAAGTTTTTTAATTTTTTCCTTGCAACGTAAAACACAAATAACGTGCGCGATTTAGTTGTGCAATTGAACAAAATTTGTCGAGTAAGTCTTATGCCTTCCTCTCTTTTGTAAAAAAACTACTTATTTATTTAAAAATGATGTATAATCGTTACTTTAAATTTATTGTTGACAATTCTTAAACTCACGCAATGCATTCGAAGTCCACCAGATGGCGCGCGCGTTGCGAAAACCCGTTACTTCTTTAGCATATAACTCTGCTGAAAATGTATACCTTCTCCACATTTGCACATATTGAAGCTCGCGAAAAAGAACAAAAATTATTAATGTTTAGAAAAAGAAAAAATCAAAGTTTTAAGGATAACAAAGCTATATCTTTAAAAATTAAAATTTAAAATGCTATTTATGTTTTATATCGGGTGTTTCGTAATCTTAATATTTTTAAAAATAGTTAAATTTTTTGGTCACCTATCCCTGCTTCTCTAAATAAATGATAATTTATCGTAATATCGTTTCAATTTCATTTGGCAATAAAGGTTCTGCTTTGGATTGACAGCGCAACAATTACGAATCAATTTAAATTTTTAATTAACCTAATACGCTAATACCAGATATCGATCTAAACGATCCGGCAATCCAAAAACATGTGTTTTTTACAACATCTATTGGCCAATGACACCCATTAAATTTCCTGAATGAATAAAATAAATTAGCATTTTTCCCATTGCGTACCACATAACAGGTTTAATGATAATAATGTATTCTTGTTTAATAACTTACCACCTCCGCTATATTTTAATTATTGATCATTAAGCAACAAATCAAGAAGAAAAGAAAGGAACACAGTGTGATGAGAATGTTAAATTCAATTTATGCATAGCCGTGCGTTACATATAATACGTGGTTTGAATAAATGTATTTTTGAAAAGCCCTACAATAATTAAACCAAGAAAATTAAGTCTAGTAAAAAACAAATATAACCTATCATTCCAACGTTTTAATTGGTCATATAATATTTTCCTTAATTGATTTCAATTAAAGCTAACTAATATGCATATCCTGAATATTAAAAAAAAACTAAAAACCATCTAGTTAGGTATAGTAAACATCGGAAAAATGTTTTTTTTTGTTTATGTACTATAATAAATCTCACGGGGCTTTTGTGGGTTTAAATAATAAAAATAATCAAAAGAATAGTATAATGTTTACACGATTAAGATTTCCATAACACAAGCCGAAAGCGAGTGGAGTAACGTATCCGATTGTAAATGACCATTTCTCAAGAGTATACATTTTCTTATTTTATTAAAGATTTTGGAACAATTGTCTTGTTTGTGTGCCACCAACACAGATTTTATGACAAATGTTAGTGTCAATTATTTTCTAAGATAACAATATAATAAAAAAAAGTAACCATTGACCACAGTACACTAACCATTGATGCGCAGAACACTAATCAAATTAATATACAATATCAATGAAAGTGTATCATACAGGTTACTTTGACAACAGCAATAGTTTTTGTGAAATCAATGAGTAGTGTCAGGAACTATACTTATTAATATTCTGCACTTTAATTATTATTTAAACTGTATTAGTATTATCACTAATAAAGTGATTGATTAACGCCTAGGCTGTAATAATAATTTAGACCAATCCTGTAAAGTTTTCTCCTACAAGCGTGCATGTAAAAAAATATTGAACACGGGCGGAAAGTGTCCGATACGCGTCGATCTTTAAACACGTAGCACTTTTCACACTAGTTAGGTAAATAACTATTAGCTCTAGTGATGGAAAAAACAGTTCCCAATCCGGAACGTACCAAACCGTTCCGTTCCTAAAAAGTCACGTACCAAAATCACGTGATTTTGAAACGTAGGGTAAATGATTTCACAATACATGCGGGTGGAATCCACGACACGACGTTGCTGGGCTGCATTTTGTCTGGTGCGCCTCTTAGTTCTGTTGACGGCACCATAACAAATTTAATACCAAAATTAAATATTGTAACTTTTGCCATACACTATAAGGTTTAAGGAGGTCCCTACACTATCAATATTATTGCACAATATGTTGTATTAAGCAACTTAGTTAACAGTGTGTTGACAATATTGCCTAATTTATTTATATTGTCTGATTGCCTAGGGACATTAATCAATTTTTTGTGCAGTAATATTGAGTCTAGGGACCCCTTTAATACACAAAAACCTGTTAATTCCTTGAATGTTTTGTCTATCTCTAATAAAGGTTTTCTAGTAAGAAAACCTTCTACCTAACAAACTTAATTTTTTATGCACCGTTCCAGCGGAATGATTCGTTATATTGGTTATATGCACCGATAAAGTTCAGCTCAAGTCAGCGCGCTGCGAAAGTCGAACAAGAAACGAAACGAGGTAACTGCGCCTTTAAACAGTTCCGACGTTAGCGACGTTCGTTCTGTTCCATGTTTCACGTCGTTCCCTTCCCACTCGCTCCGTTCACTCATTCGATGGTCGGATTTTCTGTTTCTATTCAGTTCGATCAGCTGTCACATCGTTCCGATATATTTAGGAACGTTCCGAAACGTGATTTAAAAATAACGCTCCAAAATCACGTTATCAAAATCACGACCCATCACTAATTAGCTCCCAGTCGGTAAAACTCGTATGGGCATGGGCAAGAAAAAAGTTTTGGGGTGCAGTGATTAATAAATAAACGAAAGCAACAAACTACAGATTAGGCTTTGTTCAATTAAACCACCTCATCCCCCCATTGACTACGGCCTTGGTTCTAACCAACTTAACTTTCTAATTTTAATATTTATTATTATAATTCACAGGGGTCCCGAATGAGTCATAGGTCACATAAAAATGACGCCAAAAACTGAATGCGCTATCGGAATAAGGACCCTCTCTAGAGATTAGAAACATGTTTTTTAAAATTGTAGTTGATCCTTTAAATTTTGTTAATTCAAATACCAACTGTAATTTAGTGACTTATTTAAGATTTTTTGCGTATTTCTTTAAAACTGAGCACTTTAGGAAAAAATTTAAAATAAAGAATTATGACAAAATTATCTAATAAATGATGCTTCAACAACCGCAACCATTGGCGTAAATATAATTTTTTTTAATTACAAAATGTTTAAAAATTTTGTTTTTGCACATTAATCGCCGAAACCATATTTCACAAAAAAAAAGGAAAGGACAACAGTAAAGGGTTTATCTATTAAAAATACTATGTATTTAAGAAAAGCATTAAAAATAAGGTTACATTAAATTGCCAACAAGTAGTAAATACAGTAAAATCTAGTTAGCCATCACCTTTGTCAGGCTTATTTTGGAACGGACTTGTGAAACTTCTGGGAAAAAACGCGTTGAGATGGCCTAAAACACTGAATTTGGTCTCTAAGAACTACCAAGGTGACAAATTTGAGGTAAATGCATGTTAAATGCTTCTCAAACATCCTCGAATAACTCTAGAAGAAATCAATTTATTAAAATAATAGGAGACCTTTTTTGTAGAGCGTTAAATTTTATATAAGAAACTGCATTGATCATTGCCATAAGTTACTTTGATACAGAGGTATAAAATTCCAAACA